TGATGACGCCCCATCAACAGTGATTTAATTTCATTCCCGCAAACTAACTCCCCCTCCATCCCATCACCACCACCTCACCCTAGACCCAATCAACACAACTAAATGGCCGGAACCAAACGCACCTGGGACGGCAAGCAGCTCTCACTTCAACCCAACAACACCAAGCACCAGACTACTACAATGGCCGAATCATCGACGCAAATCCTCTCCCTCTTCGAGACCTTCCGCAACGAGCTAGACGAGCACCACGATCGGCGCGAGCGATTAATCAAGATCTCACGAGACATCACGGCACTGAGTAAGAAGATGTATGTTTCTCCCCTATTCCCATTTATCTTTCAAGGTCATGTACATGAAGAACCTTATCAAACAAGCAAAAGCAAGGCTAACACAAAACCGCAGTATCTTCTCCCTCCAACGGTATCCCCACCTAACACCTCCACCCCCCAAAAAAACCAAAAGCTTAACAAGATAAAACCTCCCAGAATCCGCAAACTCAACGCCCCCCTCCCGGAAAACATCACAAAAGAAACCCAATCCCGCTTCACCCAAATCCAATCCCTCTTCACCACTGCCATCCCAGATATCACGGGCCCAAACAGATGGCGCTACCAGCGTCAACTTAGTGGCGCAATCCAGGAATACATCGAGGCGCTCTCCTTCCACCACTATCTGACTACGCAAACCCTCATCACTCTCGCTGAAGTGCGCGCGAACCTCCCCGCCGGGATACTCGTCACGGAGGAAGACTATCTGCTGGGGTTGTTCGATTTAACTGGGGAGATGATGCGGTTTGCGGTTACGGCGCTGTCGGCTGGGTCAGTTGCTTCTGAGGAGAAGAAGATGGGGCTGAGTAAGGAGCAGAATGGGATTGTGGTAGATTTGAGGGAGATGAGGTCGCTCTTTGAGGGGCTGAGTGTGTCCAGACGGCATAATTTGATTAAGGATTTGGGGAAGAAGATGGAGGTTATGCAGGGGAGTGTGGAGAAGGTGGAGAGGGCTGCTTATGGGATTTTGGTGAGGGGAAGTGAGAGGCCGGCTGGGTGGATGCCGGATCTCTCTGGGGGTGGTGATGAGGGGTATTAATTAGTTTAAGAGTTTTGTTCGGGGTGGTTGAGTATGGGCTGTGCCTGTATGTATGCCTGTATGTTTTATCCATGTATCTCTAGAAGAGTGGGAATCTTCTGAACTAAGTAACCTAGATTTAACTAAACTAAACTATTCCAGGAGCTGAGATAAATACTTCCATATCAAGCTCGTATCTCATGCCCTCTGTTGTATGTCATTTACCATATTTTTGTTTTGTTTGTGTAAAGCAAGAAATCGTCAAGTGTAACCCCTTAATCCATCCATATACTCCGTCCATCAAACCATAATCCATGACCCATATCCATCATAACCCATCGACGGCTGTCAAAGACAGGATCAATTAAATACTCGGCCGCCTCGGATCCTCATCCTCCGTCAAGATCCCCTGAGCCATGAGATCCTCCGGCTGCGGCCGGTTTTGAATCTTCTGGTCGAGCTGATCGGCCAGCATGTGTTTCTCCAGTTCGCGGGCGTGAGCCTGAAGCGCGGGAGCTGCATTGGTATGCGGGAGGATATTGCCTTTGGTGGATAATATACAAGTTAGTATTCAAGTGTATAACAGCATGACAATAGCTAGTCATGATAGAAGAAGCGCAGATGAACAAGGGGGAAATAATGCCAAAATACGCACGCTCAACTAGTTCCTCGCGATCCGGTCTGTGCTCGAGGTGTTTCTTCAGGTTATCAGTTGTGCGCTGGCGGTCTAGTTCCTGTCTTGCTGCTTGGATGGATCTGTGGGTTGTTGGTTAGTGGCACGATGGGAGTCATAGTCGGTGTTATATTAAGGAAGGTCATGGAACCGTACGGAGCAACATTGGTGTCGAGGAGGATGTGTCTCTCTTTGAGATCCTGGGGATCAGGACGGTTCAGGAGATGTTTCTCCAGGGAATTGCGTCGCTCGATGGGCGATGCGGCGAGGGAGGTTTCGTCGACGGCGTTGATCATTGTTATTATCTGCTTACTTGTATCTGAGATGGTTAGAAGGGAAGTACTATGGAAGGACTAGCACTTGTATAGTATTCGCAAGGTTCGAGTTCTTGAAGAGACGATTGGGCGGGGAAAATCAGGCCCCGGGGGATTGTACTTACGTATTTAGGATTCTAATTAAATGCTGGGCGATGTAGGTACAAGTAACCGTGAGGATGGGAGGGTTGAAGGAGGGGAAGTCAAGTGACGTTGACATCAATGCGGAGGTTTGGTCCACGGGACCTTAACTGCGGCTATTAATATTTGGGGCATGACCTCATGGCATAACTCATTAGAGTTTCCTTGTACAACGGCTAGGGTTATCATATCTCATCTCATCTCTTCTCTTCTCTTCGTGACCACGAGCTAAACATAGGTTTCAATTCTTGTCATCTGTTTCTTTTTCTCGTTTTCTTAATAAACAATACCGGAAGCACTACTAAAGCATGCATCTTGCCCATCCCCCTCGTACTCCCACAGAGCAATAGCAACAGGTTCAACAAAAATAAGCAAGACAACGCTCATATGTGTGGGTGGTAACTGCTGAGTAATATGTTGAATAGCTAGCTCGTTTACGCATGTCGGGTTGAACAGGTGCGTGGTCCAGGAGCACCCGACATGTGGAAGGACATAAAACAGAAAGCTCGTTCCTCCATCGTAACGGAAAGCAAGTGTATGAGCAAGAAGACCCGTCTGACCCCAGAACATGACCTAGAGCCTGATCATCGGCCTCGCACGAGAATGGTTGTATGGATCGAATCAATGCCGTATCCGACTCGCACTCATCCTTCATGTCCGTGCAATCCATGTAGGTCCCATTCGCCTCATCCATTAAGTCACAGTCTGAACTGACATCGACCAGTAGGCAGTCCGGGAACGGAAGATGATTCCTGCTTCGAATAGCAACCACAGTGGTCTCTGTTGGAAATTGCAAACAAATGCCCCGTCGACATCACAATCAACGGGGCTCTGCCGTCCGCTCAAGGAACCCAGAGTTTCCCACGGCCCCGGCTGTTACCACGAGTTGGCCCACGAGGAGCCCCTCGACGACCGCTGCTGTAGTTTCGAGACGCTCCTGCCATGCCACGCGCAGCCCCGGACTGCGTACTGAGATCGATCGTAGGCTGCTGCTTGTTGGTCGTGGTGGGCAAGGACCGACTGAAAGAGTTGGGGTCGATAGGTTGAGTAGGTATCTCCATCGTACTCTCCACCGGCGGCGCCGTGGTCTTAGCGGCGGCGGCTTTCCGATTACTTCCGCCACGCGACCCTCCTCGTGAGGTTCCTTTTCCGCGGCCCCGGGGAACAAAGACTAGTTCATCCTCGTCGCTTTCGTCGTCGTAGGAAAGCAGCGACTTCGGCTCGGCTGTCTGGGTTTGGGTTTTTTCCACATATTTGCAGCGGTTCTTGTATTCCCGTTCTTCGTACTGAATGGAGGTCCGAAGCTGGTGGATGTTCTTCACGCCAATGCCAAACTTCTGAGCCCAAATCTGCGTGGAGCGATCGTTCGTAATGAGGATACAACTTTTGGCCGCATTCGACGCATCAGGGCCGCTGTGCAGCCGCCAAAGCAACGCACTGAGTAGCGGTCGGAGCACCAAGGGAACCGTGGGGATGGTGGAGCCGGAAGCAGATCGCTTGTGTCCGTTCGTCTGCTTTGCTTTAAGGTTGCTTGTTCCGTTTCCATTCTCGACCACATACGAGTTGGCACATTCGGGACTCGTACGGGAACTTCTCGATGAAGGTGACGACGCCGGGGCACTGTGAGTCCCTGCCGAGTTAACTGATGCGGCGTCTGAGTCCTTCTTAAAGTTTAGCTTGTTGAGAAGCATTTGCGACAGATCATCCGGGGCTCCGTTTTTCTTGTTGTCTCTTCCCTTCGGCCCCTTCTTCCCCAACAGCGTCTCCCCGGCACCGGTTCCATTTGTCGCCTCCGGCTCCTCTTCGAATTCCGGCAAAAAGAACTTCTCTGCATCATTCCAGTTCTCGTACTGCTCCATCGGACCCTGAAGAGCAACGCGATCGGCCGGGGTACTGTCCTTTCCGGAAGTAACGCGGTCAAGAAAGCGAACAGCCTCGCGGGCGTTGATAGCGACTTGAGACCCGGCTCGTTTCAATGCATGAAGACGTTCAAGGGCTGAGTGAAGGGAGGATAGTGAGAAAAATGTAAGATGTACCAAATGAATGAAAGAAAAATGATAGAAATAGACAGAAAATACAATGGAAGATACGTACTGTAAAGAGGAACGACCAAGGTGATGGCCCCGTTGGTTGTCCATTTTTTGATTTCGCTGATGTTGGTGGTCAGCGCCGTCTCATCCACGGCACAGTGGAAGACCTTGCGTCCGGTCGACATCGCTTCAGCGGTCGACAAGAAGCAGATCGCGTAGGTTGAATCTTAGGGATGGTTAAGGCGGCGCAGTGCCCTACACCGAATGGCTGATTTTAACGAGTGCGACTGAGCCGCCGCGGCGTTAGCGGATGGGTCCTCAGAAGGAGGTTTGGTTTGATGGCGGAGGGATATGAGAATGTGGGGGCAATTGGCATTAAGATTAGGTCAATCAAGAGGCACCGAGGCCAACCTCAGGCCACAAATATGCCGGAACAAACAGACCTCAAGGTACTTACCGTGGGATCCTGGTTCACAAAGAAGGGACATCTGCATTTTGGGGGTCGGACCGAGTCATTCGCGGAAATAATAAGGCCCAGGTAAAGGCAGATTGAATGGTCATTGAACAGCAGCGGATCAACTGTGACGCCGTGGGAGTGACTCTCCGACTGACTAAGCGGAACAGTCATCATCTACAAGGTTCATCACGGTTCTACATCGATTCGGCAGAGAAACTCCACAAAGTGACAACCAAAAGAATAATAACAATGAGATGAGATATTCTGTTCATTTCAATAACCACACTACTGTAACGAAGGATGTCTACTTGGGTTACACTCTATAGAATAATTGACATGCTGTCACCGTAACACAAAAGTCCCCCATAGAAGCAAAGAACGAACGCTATGTCATACAAGCATCAAGGGCCATCTTGACGCAAATTCGCAGTCAAGGCAATGATAGGAGACGCTTAATTCTCACCAGCCTAGTTTAGCTTTTTGATCAGTCCGTCAGCAGGCTTGACACGCTGCGCCCACTCACTAATCGACATACATAGTAAGCAACTGCACTTCTTCAAAGGCATGGTACTTAGCAAATGGTAAGAAGTACTTACGTCCAGCTTCCATCATACACCCTCCGCAGGTTAGGGTCTCCGTACTCTGCTTCACCCAAGGCGGTTTCAATAATCGTAGCCGTTACACCAGTGCCGCAAGAGCTGATGATCGATTTGGAGTCATCAATTTCGTTCTCTTCAAAGATTTTGCGCAGCTCAGACTTCGACCGAAAAGTCTTCGTCTCCGGATCCAGTAATTCTTGAAAGGGCAAGCTCTTGGAGCCAGGAATATGGCCTGAGGACAATCCTGGGCGTGGTTCGGGATCAGTTCCCGCCCAGCGGCCGTAAGATCGCGCATCCAAGATCTCGACTTCTTTAGCACCTTCTTTCCTATGCTCCTTGGCAATCTCCTTCAACTCTAAGTACGGGATCACCAGTTTAGAATCGTAATTAGGTACTGGATAGCTGGTCCGTTCCACTTGCTGGGGCTCCCCAGTCTCCGTCGGGTACCCTTCGCGCACCCACAGTCGATAGTTGTCCAAGAGATGAACCCGAGGATGTCCAAATACTCGTAGAGTCCAGCCGACACGGGGCGCGCTGAAGATTCCGAGCTCTTCGGTGTCATAAACTACCACTTCGTCGTCACGCCGGATGCCAAGCTCACTCATCGCATCGGCAAATGTCTCCGCGGTGGGAAGCATGTGGGGGTACGGAGATTCCGCATCTTTGATCGCATCCAAGTCAAAGAATCGAGCCTGAGGGATGCGATGTTTCCGGAAAATGTCAATCCCTTTGCGACTTTCCGGGTCATTGGGCATAAACCATGCAGCGCACAGCGGGACGACGCGCGGTGATGTCGAGATCTTGGTGGGAGGGTTCTTTTTGAGGGCCTCACTGAGCTCCTTGGGAGAGACCAGGTATGAGGAGAAAGAAACCTGGCGACATTGGGATGGGAGTCGCGTTTGCGAAGGAGCCGACATGGTCGGACGAAGCAGGCGAGTGGGGGAGGGGATCGAATGGCGAAGAGCTGCAAAAGCCATCTTCGCAGCGCGGATTTACTGGGGAAAATATAGAGAGAATTGAAAGAGGATAATCAATATTTACATACCGAATCGGCAATGTCGTCAGATGGTGTCATCTGATCGCGGACGATAAGAATTTAAATAGGGATGTGTTAATTTAATGCAAGTGTGCAGTGAGGGGAAAGTCCGGAGTATTCACTTTCTTATTTTAATTTTTATTATTTATCAGTGGTGCTAAGTCAACTACTAACTTAGTAGTAACTTAGTTACTGTTAGCAACTAGTAATCATTTGGACCTAAAATGCGGAGTCACCCATAAACAAATCATTTTCTCCGCCATGTGAAAAACAAATGGGAAAAAAAAAAATAAAAAATAAAAAAAAAAGGTAACAAACCAGAAAAGGTCCGTTATCTTGCTTTAGCTCCACTTACTACTCTCACCGACCACTTTTCCATTCCCTCCTCATTCGGAATAAGTTAATCCACGCCCTCAAACCAAACCACATCGCGGTCGACCATGAAGGTCACTATTAAAGAGTGGAACGGGGTTGCCACTTGGCGTTGGGATATGCCCGAGGATGATGTTTGTGGCATCTGTCGCGTCCAGTTCGATGGGACTTGCCCGACTTGCAAATTTCCCGGTGATGATTGTTCACTACGTAAGTCTCTTGGTTTTGTTTGCTTTAAAAAAGAAAAAACAACAACCATAGGGGCTTTCAGATTAACATCGATGTAATCACAGTGCTAGGGAAATGTGGACATTCGTTTCATATGGTGCGATAGTGGATCTTGATATTGTCATGGATATAGAAACTGATGATTCACCTCTCCAGCATTGTCTGATGACTTGGATCCAACAAGAATCTTCAAAGGGGCTTTGTCCGATGTGTCGTCAAAGTATGCCATCCCTAGATAGGGACTTTTCGATGGGAACTGCTACTCACTATAACCACAGAATTCGAATGGAAACAAGAAGATGACGAATAAGCCTAAACATCCTGCATCCCTGCGGCGACGATGGGGGAGACTTTCAAGCTCGACGGATACGATACCCATTTTTAAAAATTATTAAATCGCAATTGTTTCTCTTTTCTTGTACAATACAGACCGTTATCAACATTGCATTCATGTCTAGCTTCCGCACAGTCACCTGACGTTTGTTTATCGATAAGGGAGCAGGTGATCAGCTTCACTCGAGCTTATAAAGTGGAAGCCGAGAGCTTACAAGTTGCCATTGCAATCCACCCAAACAAGGCTTCAATGTCCTTCTCTGTCACCTTCTAATCATGTAGCACAATCTATCAGAAATGTCTCTTCCAATACATACCACATCAACCTCCTTGTCCTCTTCGCCCTCCAAGCAATCCATCCGGCGGACCACAGAGTCAAACGTCCCTTCTCGCCCGGAAAGCACCATTGATCGACCCACCACAGCCCAACAGACTCACACTTTGCCTCAAGAACCACAAGTTTATGAGCCAGTCGCAAACTTGGCATCCCCTCATTCAGAAAATGAGAGGCCGCATGAGATATCCGCTTCACATCCGCCATTCCAACCGTTCTTCACGCTGATTGAAGACGCAAGTACCTCCGAATACTACCACCCAACTGTCCACTATATCTTCTCCGATGATGATACGGACATTGTGACCGAGGCAGCCTTGCGCTCCTTGGAGCCCGAGCAAAATACGCTGCCTCACGGCGGAAAGGGAACCTCCAGGGCCACACGTGACCAGCTCCCACAGGAACAGGGTGAAGGAGCAGAGGAGGAGGATGAACTGTCGAATGAGAGAAAGGAATCATTGCTTCCGCCTGCGACACCTGGTGTTCGGGACAACTACATCATTCTCGACATGGACATGCTTACTCCAGATGCTATGCAACACATGAATACCGCCCCCGAACAGGACGTCAGTGTCGGCTCCCCAGGGACCCAATCCGCTGTCCCCCAACAACAGCAAGACTTCCAGAACCATCACCAACATAGTCAAAAATTCGCGGTCACTTCAGCCTACAGCTTAACACCGACATGGCAAGTTCTAAATACCCAGCTGGTACCCGCCCCGACTTTTGAGAACAATCCTTCCGGCGAACACGCCCCAAACGGTGCCCTGATGTTAAAAATTCAAGGGACGGTCGGCTTACCTATGATGCTGCCTGTTAAGGATAAAGATAAAGACAATAGCACTCAGCGATTGGAGGATATGATGGAACAGTTCTCGAAACGTTTAGGCGAGCTCCGGCAAGTCATTGAAGCTGGAGAACAAGCGTACGTGCTAGGAAATGCGGATGAAGAACACATGCCAACCGAGCCGCCAAACGCAGAGGATACTGCTGTGGCAAGCCCCGAGGGCCAACATGAAACTGAAACGCAGAACGAGGATGATATGGTCAGCAAAAGCCCACAGCCTTAATTGGTCTACTTGTTGGCGCGAACGGCGCCATAGGCCTTGACAGAAGCCGTGCTTCTAACTCAAGATGCTCAGCCTAGCCTGCTACACGCTGGAATCTGATCGGTAGTCAAATTAAAAGATAATTACCTCTAGGTTATTGAGACAAAGGTGTAACACGCTATCGTCCAGTCTTTTACCGACATTATATTCTTAAGTCCTTGTAATTATTATAGCACAGCGAATAAAGTTAGCACCGAAATAGCTTAATCCCCAGAACATGACCCAACTATGGAACTTGCACCTGAAAAACAGTGAACAGTTGACCCTGTAACAACGCCCGCACTACTAACAATCTCTGGATAGTGAAACAAAGTCAATTCCCGTCAGCCGTTCTTTGGAGCCGTAGGAGATACAAGTGTCATTGCCTTAACTTCTTTTAGTGCCGTCTATGGTATCTCAAATGTAGGTGTTGGAATTTGCACGACGGGTATCCCGAGACTTGATTCAATTGTAAACGGTGTATCATCTATCAACTATCTCCATTAACCTACTTTATGGACGCATAGAGTACGGAATCCACAGCTATCATGGCGCGTTAATCGAGAATATCGAAGCATCATCCCATCCGTCACAGAGGCTAGAATCATTGGTATATCTACTGACTTGCTGTTTCCGTATTGACTGCAACTAACTTCGTGCAAAAGGTAAACCTTTTCATTGGCTTCGTGCAAAGGGGGTGCAGGGCTCACAGTTAGGCTCGCAGGGTTGGCTGCTGAGTAAGAATGTATCATCAAAGTATTTACGCCTGACGAGTCTATCTGAGTCGATAAGTCTGCTATTGGGATCGTGGGTGACACTGATGTGAGGAGAACAGCTCAATGGCTTCGACTTTATGTGGGCCTGATTCTGATTCTGAATTTCACAGAGATCTCGGATCAGTGATGAAGACGGTACTACATGCCACAAAGCTGTACGATGCGTTATTCTTACGAACTGGTACAGGCTCAATCAAGAGCATTGAAGTCTTTTGAAGTCTTGATTAACATGAATCTCAAGAACTGTCTCTTCGATATCAACCCAAAACAAGCCAGATAGGTATCATACTAGTCCCACCTAGAAAACGCCAAAATTCCCAAAGGGAGAGAGAAACCAGTGTGCAAAACAAAGGCGATGGTCAATGAAAACAAAATATCCCAGTGCGCCAAGCAAGCCAGCAAGATGGTGCGGAGCACCCTTTCCTGCACACCAAGTTATCAAGGTCCTTCACCATAACGCCCGTGTATCCCAAAATGACGAAAGGGTATAAAAGTTGAGATTAGCAACTATAGGATAAATCGTTTGATGTAATATCTCAAGGAGCAGGCCGATTTCTGGGCCGTCGAGCACTCGAAAGCCCGGGTGGGGGGACGTTCTCCCGGCCTTCCATCATTCCAGCCATCCTCTTGGTCAACATGTTTTTCGGCAGTTTGCTGTCAGTAGTGGTCGGGTTGGAGCAGCGCCTCTTGGCTGGAGGCTCATCTGAGTCTTCGCTTTCCGGGACAGTGTCGACTTGCAAAGATTTGCCGGCTACGGAAATATTCGATTGCCGCACCGAAGCCCTGTCGCCAGGGCTAGACGCGAGCTGTTTTGCGGCGACGTTTGCATCGACTTCCCTAAGACCTGTGTTGGAAGTGATCCTGGCTGTAGGTGTCTGATTCCCTACCTCGTCTTCGGTATCGTTGTAAACAAAGCCTTTGGTGGGAGAGGTTCCCGGAAGGTCTTCGCCATTGAACGGGAGTAGCGTGAGCTCCCTTGACGTCCGAATCCCGGATATCAGAGTATTATGCGCCTCTGTCCGAGGAAGATCTGTAGGATACTCGTAATGGCGTTTCTGTGGGGTAGCGCCGGTAGCAATATACTCTTGCAGTGGACGACTATGAACATTATTGCGCAGCTCTGTGAGAGGCTTGCGAACCTCTTCTAACAAAGGAGAGGTCGCCTCCTGCAAACCGTGCTGCTGCTGAGCGGCGTCCTCCTGCAGCTGACCAATTCGCGTACCAACCCCTTCCAATTGTTCATGAACGAAAGAATAGGATTCACGGACGCTAGACGCCATGTTGTCCAAGCTGGAGATATGGGCATCGCGATATTGGCCATTCTGACACCGTGCTTTAGCCACGAAATCGTCTAAAGCTTCCATCTGTTTATCCATATTGCTCATCTGGGCATCGACAATTCGTACTGTTTCCTCATGCACGGATTCGGTCGTCTTTTGAATAGAGGCGTTGCGTTGGTCAAATAACTCCCAATCGTTCTGCATCTTAGCCCGAAGCTCATCTCTAGAAGCGGCAACGTCCTTGGCAAATTGCTCGGACTTGAAAACCCATTCATCTGTCTGGCGATCATGTTGAGTCGTTGCTTGCTCCAGTGACTCGCCCGAAGACGAGATATCTGCTCGTACATTGTCCAATCTCCCTTTTAAGCGACTAACTTGTCTTTGCCGGGATTCCTCCATCAAAGACTTGAATTGCGAAAGTAAAAGATCTCGCTCCGATTCAGCGGTGGCGTGCTCTTCCTCAAGGGCATGCGCCAGATTAGAAGAAGCTCTACGGTTCGCTTCGACGGTCTGGAGGTTAGCTTCTTGGACTTCCAGTCGCAACCTATTAATTTCCATCTTCTGCTCATTGAGATGCCGCACCATCTCCTCGAACAAGGACTTAAAGTCCTTACCAAGAGTGCTGTAGGACGAATGAAGCTGCTCATGAAACTCTGTGAATTCGCCAATAACTTCCTTGGATATCCGAGCGGCGGCAGCGGAAAGACCGTTCAATCCCTCTCCAACTTTGCGCTTAACCTCTTCACGCAAGTCTTTGATCTCCTCAAGGACCTCATTCATCTGATCGTGGGCGCCGCACGTTTGTGTCTTCGTGTCATGCTCAGCCCTGTCAAAAATAGCACCAAAGCTCGACAACGCTGACTGGTTTGATTGGACGTGACTCAATTCGCTAGAGACGTAATCGTTGATCTTTGAAGCCATAGATTCCAGGAGCTGTGAATGTTGCAATTGGAAAGCCTCCACCTTTCTGTCGACTTCCTCGGTCACAGATGACACTTCTTTGGCTGACGTTTGCCATGTTTTTATGTTAGATGAGTCTAGATCTGCCTTTCGGTCGAGTTTCGCGTGCAAACCATCCACATCTCCAACAGTTCTATCCAACGTCGACAAAAGCCCCGTACCAATGTCGTAAAGCTGGCTTTCGGTATCTTGGTGTGCTTTCCTCAACATTTCCTCTTCTTCTAGAAGTGACCTGGTATTCTTGAGAACAATCTCGGTCTTTTCAAGGACATCATTTGTATCGTTTAGAGCTGCCCGTGTATCCTCGTTGTCCTTCTTCAGGTTATTGAAATTACTCGTAAGCGTAAACAGCTCCTGAACCTTGTTTCGCAGGTTGGATTCCATTGATTCGATCTTGGCTCGTTGTTCTTCATTAACGATTCTCCGCGATTCATTCTCCATGGTCATTTGTTCGTACGCGTCGACAGTCATATATACACCGTTTCGGTGTCTTGTGGCAATGAGTTCTCCTTTGAGCTTCTCGATCTCAAAAGCGAACTCTTGAAGAAGTTTATGTTTCGATGTGAAGTTAATCTGCGGCTTGTTGCGAATGTTCTTGGCCCTAAAGGCATAATCTAGCGTTGAAATTGTTTCTTCCATGTTGCTCCGAGACGGCGAAACCGTCGCGATAATGCATGTTTTCGTGCGCCCACCAAGGGAGTCTTGCAAAAGACGTGTAAGTTTCGATTCTCTGGTAGAAATTAGTAAATATCAAATTGTTGTACTTTATATTCTTACCGATATGGGATATGAGGACTCTTATCGACCAAAGCGTTGATTACTCGGCCCAAAGTCAGGAGACTTTTATTGATCAGACCGGCTTCTGTGGCACGCTTGTTCTCGGCTCCACTGCGCTGGATATTTTCGCTACCGGCCAAGTCAACCAAATTCAGCTTCCCAGAGCTGACATACTCTTCGCCTGCATCCGTTGTGCGCTTCGTATGTACTGTAATAGTGAAGATTGTGTGACTGCGAGAACTCAGGTCATTGCACTTGGTCGCAGCAACTTGCCGCTTATGGCTACCATGTTGAAGTAGCTTGATGCCGGAAGAGGCGGAGTCAATGTACGTTTCTTCAATACCTTGGACAAGTGTACTCTGTCCTTTCTTCGACTCGTTCTCGAAAATCTTCAGCTTTTGGGTTTCTTCTGCTGAGAGCAGATCGCGAAGTTCTTCATTGTATAGCTCAATGAAGGAGCATTTGACGGTGCTTTCCGTCTCTTCGAGTTTGTGGAACAGCGAATACAGAACACGTGGGATAATGCCGGCATTGTCGGAAAGGATGCCCAGAGTATCGGTCATATCGCCTGACATAGTGTATGTTTTCCCGGTCCCAGTTTGTCCGTAGGCAAAGATAGTACAGTTGTATCCAGCGAGCATCTCATTGACAATCGGCAGGACAACATCCTCGTACACTGCGAGCTGGTCGGCGGCGGCGGAAAAGACCTTGTCGAAAGTATATGTCTTGTTTGAAACGGCATTTGGTCCCATGGATAGTTCCACAGTATTACCCCTAACACCTTCGGTCTTCACGACGACACCACTATTCTCTTTGATTTCCCGATCATTGCGCCCGCGGCAGCGCACCACAACGTGAATGCTGGTGTCTTCATTTATTCCACGTTCAAGATCTCGTTCCTTCCTTTTGGCTGTTACGCTAGCCGGTTCAGCCGGTGATTTCATTGCGCGCGATCCACCGGAGGCAGGGATTTTGGAGGAAATTGCTGGAGAGCCGGCCCTCTCGGTTGCTGAAGATCCTAACCGCCTGGTGGGTTGGCGTGTGGCTGTTGTCCTCCTTGTAGGGAGGCCAGAGGCAAGCCTTTGGGGGCCAGCCATTGTGAACAAGTCTCACTGACAAACTCACTACCACAATAACTTAAAGGGGATATATGTGTAGATCCAATGTGTGCGACTAAATGTGATGTCGC